TATCGCTTTACAGGGTTTTTGCACACTGCTGTCATCCATTTCGGGGGTATCGCTTTTGGGGGGGGCCTATCACTTTACTAGGGTTTTGCTCATGTCCCTGAATTTTATCTCTGCCTGCTCTTGGCTCCCACACGATAATAAAAGCTCTCGCTCATATAACCCCAATATACTATATAGTAATTCAAATTTTCTCTTCCATCTCCCTACAGAACCCAAATATACTATATAGTAGTTTCTATGTCCTTTTCCATTGCCCCCTGTATACATATACTAGACCCAACTACAGCTTGGCATGCTAGTCTGGACCACGAAGTCAGGGTGGCGGCACTTTTTGCGGATAGGCGCAGGCAGCGGCCTCAACCTCATGGCTGGTGGCTTGCCAGAAGCCAGCGCTGTGCGCATTGAGAATCGCAAAATCTACTGCCAGATGGCGATGGCCCGGCACACGAGAGCCATGAGGCAGAACTTCCGTCTCGAGGCAGGCTAACAAGGACATCAGCAGGATGCTGCTTGTCTTCAAGGTTGGGTAGCCAACGAAGCAGCGGCGCTCGGCAGCGTGCTTTCCTCGACAGCCGGCCAAGGTCGCAGGCCAGGTGGCGGATACTGTTGTTCAGCAAAACGGCATACCCACCAGTCATGCAGGAGGGTGCATGTCGGCTGCGCGAGTCGAGAAGAGTGCATCCTCTGCATCCTATAGGCCCTAAACCCCCATCAAATTTTCGCTTCAATGCCGAATACCAAGAAGAGGGTGTTGGCCATATCGTAGAGGAGATCCCCCCAATACACCAATGCAAGATGACAGGACCCTGCTGGCGACCCCAGGTGATGTCCCGAATAGGTACCTTCTCTGCAGCCCCCATTTACCCCTTCAGGTCCCCCTTTCTCATCCTCTCTTTAGTTGGGGTTTCCGAACAGTCCGGGCCCCTCTTCGGAACTTCGGGAGCCTAAACTCCTAGTATCCCCCTTCAAATCCCCAGTTGTAGTCACCTATATAATCCGCTATATAAGGGAGTTTAGATTATGGCTCATATAAGGATTGTATTCCATTGAGGTCTATACTATACTTGGGCCCAGCATGTCTGGGCACTCCCAAATTCTCAGGAAGCCGATGACAGGCTGGGCTTCCCAACACGAAGTTGCCGGCTCTCCGGCCTAAGCTTCTGCTGAGTTGAGTTCACGTATCATGGGGCTAGGATGCTAAATTTGTGCTTTTGTTGATCAGTGTCTTGGGGATGAGTTTTTTTTGGAGTACTGGCTATAATCATGGCCCCGTCCCAAGAAGTCCTTTAAGAATCTTGAGCTGTGTTACTCAAAGACGCATCATTTTAGGGGACTGCGGGCAAACATCCCGAGCGATGGTTGTTCGGCATCTCGATCTCGGAATTGCGGCCAAGCTCAAGGATCATACGCAAGCTGTCCCTTTGCCACAACCTTGAAAATCCCCGCGGTCCCGTTGCCACAACCCTGAAAATCCCAAGATCAAATGAGATCCCCGATATATCTGGGTAATATAGGATCCAAAAGTTGCTTTTGGGCTTATAAGACCTCTTCAAACTCTAGGATAAAAGTAGAACATGTTGCGGCTCCATCAACGCATGGATGCACAGCAAGTCAAAAGATCAACAGCCCTGCAATGTGCCGAAGCCGGAAACTTCCAACATGACGGCCCCTTTGTTTCGGGCAAACCTAATGATGAATACTATAGAAGGATACTTGGAAGCGTCCATAGCCATACCTATACGTAGACATATATACATATATAACATTATAGTTCTATCTACAGGTGTGTATGTATAGCAACCGTGGTTGAGAAAGGCCGAGTGGCACTACTGCCTCTGCCAGTTTCGCCTGCCCCCAGAGCCAGATTGAGGGAGTGGGATTTGGTAACTCCGGTGGAAAGGCAATCAATCCTGCACCTCATAGGATCCCGATCTTCTGTAATTCCAACAAGTAGGGTGCAGCTTACATAAGATGGTGGGGATAAAATGCTCTGTCACCAGTAGGGCTGCCTCATACTCCTTTCCAAAAAAGAGGCTCGCCTTACACTTGGGCAAAAGATGTACCAGTGATTACGAAAAGATAGAAGCATCTCTAATAAGCCACATAAAGCCTCCAGTAACCCCTGAGAACCCTGGCGGCTGGCGCTCATTTCCTTTTCATGAAGGGCGGCAGGTTATAGGGGATTGGATGCACTTTGTCTCAGGGTTCAGGAATACTATGGCATCGCTTCACGCATTGAGGCTGTTATCCAGCTTCCCGAGTCATGCGGGGGTGGGGTTCGAGACTGGTTGGACAGACAAGTTGAGTTGCTAAGCTAAATGCGGACATCTGAGATGCAGGTGCAAGGCAAAGTAAAGTGAAAGGGAGGTGCACTGGGAGTCAAAACTCAGGCTATTATCCCACTCTGACCCCAATATACTATAGTGGTTCCCATTTCTTTTACATTATCCCAATATAACCCCAATATACTATAGTGGTTTCCACTTTCTTTTCCAATACCCCACCCTGCCCCCAAACCCTAAACCCTTACCCTAAACCCTAAACCCTTACCCTAGGCCCTCAAGATGCAGCAAAACCCTGACGCGCCTTAGGCACAGGCCCAGGGCGTTTTTGCCGTCCAGCCTCGTTTCTAGCAGAATAGCCAGGGTAGGGTAAGGGGAGTATATATGTGGGAAAGTAAGCTAGGACGCTGAAAGAACTACTAGGGAGACGAATCATTGGGGTTCTGAGCGATAAGGTACGGGCGCAATGCAATAACATGATAGCTTCCCATTCATGATGCCGATGAGGGTATTTGGGAGGGCAGTTCTAAGGAGGCCTTGGCACTCTGCTGAAACATTACTCTGAGCACACGGCCGTCTGCTCCCAGAACAAGAAGAGAACGTACGCCGCCTCCCGTCGTATGGATCTCCAGTATGCCCGCTGAGACATCTCATGCCCAAACACCTCTGAAACTCTGAGGCCCAGCTTTTCATTCCCAACAACGCCCTACACCTTCCAACCCCAAAGTCAGCAACGGCGGTAGACCCAGCTGGATCTTACTTGTTACCTTCTTGGGGGTCCCCATAAAAATGCGTATAGTATTTGGGGGTCTATCCTGGGGTCCCCTTATTCTGAGGAACTACCTCATGGGCGCCTCAGAGGAGACATGACAAACAGTGCGTGGCTTCGGCTCGGCCGTGGGTTCCAGAAACATCAGATTCACCTGGCTGCATAGGAGCTTCAGGGTTTAGGGTATGAACCCCTTAGAGGGGGTTATCTAGGTGATAGTGTAGGGATCCTAGTACAAGGCTTCTAAAGGGATATAAGGAGTTCAGGCTATAGGTCATATGCGGATTAAATTGGATCGCAAAGGTCGTGAGGGATAATGTGCGGAATCTTGTGTCTTTAAATGATCAAGTATATGCATCCTCAGATGCACACATATATGCGCACAACCACATGTGCAGCGCTCTTTCTTTCTGTATTTATTCACGATCATTCGGATCTGCAAGATTTGTTTATCTTTTGTCTCTCAGCTCAAGCTCTTTGTCTTTCTCTGCTTTTCTGCTCTTTAATAATGTTCCGCTTATAGTGTCCCATCTTTCATCTTCTGAAGACGGGACGAGGGGGACTGGCTTGAGTTCGTTGAGCATTTGATCGGAATACTCTGACGACTGTAGTGATGCTAGCCCCATTTCAAGGCCGGTAGTTGGGATGCTGCTCTTGCTCCTAGATAGGTGGGCAATGAGCCGGCAAAGATGAGAAACCCCTTTGATGCTATGGAGGTACCTGGGTCTTCAGAGTAGCATGCACACGCTTCACAACTGCGAAGCCCATTCCCTGGTTCCACCCAGATCTAGGCATTTCTGCAAACAGGAAATATCCTAGCAATACGTTGAGGAGGCCGCCAGGGCCGCTGGTGGGCTAACCTAAACTCCAGTATCCCAATACCGGGATTGCCGCGAAGCTGCGAACTCCTCAAACTCCACGGTGTTGTTGAAGTTCCTTAAATGCAACAAAGCAGCTGCAGGCGAGAAGTGATGCTGCATACTCTGAAACAGCTACTCGGGGGACTTCTAACCAAAACCATCAAAGGTGTCTCAGCTAGTTTGGGCATGCTGGGTGAAGTAGAATGAAGAATCAGTTTCTGAAGTTGAAGCCCTCGCTGCAGACTATTGCATGTCCACGTTCAAGAAAGGGATGGGAGCGTCTGAGGCGGAAGGACTGAGCTTTGTGTGTGTGTGTGTATATGTCTCAACGGTCTCGTGAGCTCCTGGCTACAGCGCAGCATATAAGCCGAAGCTTCGGCCCCGTGCCAAGGCCCTGAAAGTAAAGCGCACCCAATTGCAAGACCTCGGACTTTCACAAAAGCTAGGCCCTGGACTTAGATTGGGGTTATGTAAGGGTTATCTAGGGATTATAGAGGGGTCATATAGGGATAATGGAAAATGATGATTACTGCAAGCATCCAAGGAAAACGCAACTTGGACACAGATCGGATGGTCTTCTTATCATTCCCTAACTTCCGCCCAGGCTCCGATCTATCTTGCCTTGGAGCTGGAGGCGCAAGGTCCGAGGGTTGCAGCTTGGGAGACTATCTGGGTTGCTGTTAAGGAACTTACCTTAAATTACCATAGTGGGTATATATATAATAGTAACTAATATGGTTTTCCCCCAAATATATGAACTTATAACTTAAGTTTCTTAACAGGAACACAGTTATGGATCCAGGAGGGCGAGATGACCAGCTTTTGAGGGGTCTTGGGCACCGTGTCGGAATATCAGGGTTAAAGTTATCCATTGGGATCCAAATAGCCCAATGTAGGTAATATCTACAAACATTAGGGCCCAATGACATAGGACCTTATGGTCTTATGTTGGAGTGGAGGTGTGACAAGGTCAGAGAAATTTCTGGTTGTGCAGTGCATAAGTACCAGTGCAGGCTAGGATTCTGGTCAAGCTTGATATGATGAAGCCACTCCTGGCAATGTCTTGCATCGAGCTGCCTCGCCACCAACCACTTCTAGAGCTGTCCCCACGCTCCGAGGAGCGTCTCTCAAAACATCCTCCATCTATGACTCTCTAGTCGGAGATAAAGCCCTAGGAGTATTCCTAAAGAAGCTGCTGGCTTGTGCATGCCAAGCGCCAAGTTCAACTTCCTGAATGAACCGGATCCAATCTAATCCAATCTAATCTGTCCTGTTGCAGCTTAAGACCTCTACATGACACTTTCCCGAACACAAGAGGCAGCTTACTAGAGGATCTTGGGGATGTATTGTAGTTCTGTCTCTGAAAACGGGGATCGTGGGGGATCATGGGTCTGTGGGAATTCTACAGGGAACATTTTGAGAACCTCCCATTTCATCAATCCTTACTTTGAGGAAGGCGCGGCATTCATACCTTCCTACGCTTCTTTTTGGGATGGACGGCTCGCACTACACCCTGAACCCTAAGCAGAATTTGGACTTCTCAGCCTCCTAGGCTTTCTGTAGAGATGAACAAGCTCGCTCCTTGCAGTCCAGGTACGGAAGATGAGGTCCATCTCCTGAGGGCACACAGAAGACTTTCCGGGCAAAGTAACATGAATCCAAGATGGTCATAGTAGGTAATAAGGGAATATGTCGGGGTTATGTAGGGATAATGGAAAATAAAATGGAAACTACTTCCTTTCATGTTCTTTCCCACTCCCTACAAAGGCTGTGTAACTAAGCACACCCCTCATGATAGTGAGAAGCTCCCATGTGACCCAACCGTAGAACACCTCTTCAACCCAGGATCTCGGGATATCACTTACAGGTTCTCAGCTATGGAAAGGAATTAGAAGCATCCATCAAAGACTTGTAAAGCCACTGATTACGGCCCAGAAGCTTCCAAGCAGACTGCAAAGGTCGAGCGGCGGGCTGAAAATCCCAACAGGCCCAACATATTTAGTACCGGCACTGAAGCACCTTTTGACAATCTCCCGGGTCCTGCTGCTCAATCCCAGGGCAGAGCTTCTCGAGGATGTCCTTCCAGCAAACAGGCCAGAGGCACGTTTGAAAGGATGCAGCACTTGTGCCTTGTTTCGGTCCTCCTCTTGGGGATCACAAAAAAATCCACACTCTGCATCATCTTTGAAATGTAAGGTACCCAAGAGCCATTGATCCACAGGCATGTACCAAGCCTCGAGCGCTTTCCGTGTTATGATGCCATCGCCGTTGCTGTCGTACTTTCGGAACATCTCCTGCACAAATTTAGTCAACCAAAATGCACTTGTCAAAGTTGGGGCTTCTTTTGGGAACTCATAGTACACAGGCATGGCGGGCTTACAAGGTGGGATACGGTACCAACACCTGACTCACCTGACTCACCTGACCAATCTGCCTTGCAGGTTCCTACCATCTTAAGGTTCGAAGTAGAAGCCTCCTGCTATGGGCCCAGTAAATACCGCACAAACCCGCAGAAGCCTAAGGACCTTAGATACCACAGCTTAAAGCACGCCCGATGCGATACTCATCTTCATGGACGTCCAGGACTGACATGCGCATGCAGCTTTGAAGCCCACGCACAACATGGACAGCATAATATTGTAAGGCTTAGGGCTTATTGCGTCTCCAGGGACATGTTGCGCAACATTCCAAGATAATTCTGCGGATAAATCATCCCGGATAGTCCATGCTCACTGACCAAGGTGGAATGGTCCAATTGGAGGCGGCAGAGGGCTGAGATGCATCTCGCAACCTTAACTATATGTTCCTTCGGCGCCGCTTGAACAATCTTACAATAGCGTTAAAACCCCTACCGTGCACAATTACCCATACTACGATGTACACAGCGAATGCTATATCCTTCATACGAAAAACTAGCAAAAGGACGTTCGAGTTGTAATGCGCTTAAGTTACACATCTGACTAGCAAAGACCTGCACCCCTGCAACGTGTGGCTTTAGGGGCACATCTACATGTGCGTCTAAAAGAAGCATGGCCCCCTTGACAGATTTCTTATGGCTACGTCATGCTACGTCTGAGATACCTTGGAACTTTCTACCTTAGGCTGAGGAGCCTAGTATAAGACGCAGCAGCAAACCCGAAGCCACATCCAACCGCCGCTTGGAGGCATAGGATTGAGTTTGGGCTTGGTAACAGCCTAAAGACATTGGGGCTCTGTTGCTCTTCCTCTTCAGGCATTGCAAAAAATGGCATGCTAAAGCACATGTCCTGGACTGTCTCGGGCTGGCTTTTGGATCTTTCTAGTTTTGAGGCTGTTGGCGCCAACGCATAGACACCAATTAGCTTGCCTTACTGACGCAGTGTCAACAATCTTCCGGGAACTAACGGGGGTAATGCAACAAGATGCAACATCCTATGAGAGACTTGCAAGTATTTCTTCTTACCCTCTTGTCCGAATCACTGATCCCTGGCGCGTCCTTCATCTTTCGCACAGACCTCGCACAACAAAAAACTAAAAAACACCGACAAATCGGAACATCCTGCTGTTCCAGCACCGGCCAACGCGCTACGAAGGAGGCTATGCGGCTCGGCGAACATGGCCGCAAAGCTTCCATGCTTTCTCAGCTAGAGTCATACAAAGCATACATGTGCAACAGCTGTGCTGGCAAAATGATCCTCAGCAGGTAGCCGCACAGGAAAATGAATCTACGATTCCCAAACCACTAAAGCTGAACCAACCGCAAAACCCTCCTTCCTACACATCTGACGCAGGGCTCCTAGTTGATTTAAGCAGACCGCGGATAAACAGTACAAACAGTACAGAAGGAACAGGCATGCTGCAGCAAGGCCATGATAAATCAAAGCCAAACACCTTCTAGCCAGGTAATCCAAGTTACAGCATTGTTTCCTCCAGGTGCGCTGCCATCGCTGCAGCTAAAGTCAGCTGCCAGGTAGCAGTATTTGCTCCCTTGCAGCTTAGCTGGGATGATATCTGCGAAGCCCAAAATCAAAAGCTCCGTACAGTAGGTAGTTGTAACAAACCAAGCTGCTGGAAACCCATATACCGGTAGCATCTTCACCAGGGCCATTTGTTGTATCCTATATGGTTAAAGACTTGACTGAAGATCGCAGTCAAACGATTGTCTGTGTGCAACGTGGCAGCCGCTTTCGAACTGAGTGCCACAAGTCTAGCCTAAGCATCTCCATCTGTCCCCGGCTTCTCTCCTGAAGAGCAAGAGCAAGTTGCGGCGGTCAAAGATTTCAACATGTTTCCCAATTGTGCATGGTGCGGCGTC